TCGCGGGCGCCGAGGTCGTGCACAGGTACTACAGGCCTGACCTTGTAAGTGCTGGGAGGGTGGCGGAGGCCGGTGGCGTGTCTGCGGGATGGAGGGTCCCCTGGCGCGGTTCTGTGCGGGAAGTTCTCTGCTCTGACTGCAAAAAACGGCTGCCCCCTGAAGAAGGAGCCACCAGGTCTTCTCTTGGGAGCTGTCTTCCAATGGCTGGTGTGGAACCGAAAATAAAAACCCTGCCCCAAGTTCTTCACAAAAGAGTTTCTGCTGGGGGAGGTTGGTTTTTGGAAAGAGCATGGGACAGTGGTGAGAAGGGGCAGTGTTCGATTTAAATAGACTTTCTTTCCACCCAGCAGTGTAAGGGAAGATGACCACAAGCTTATGTGCGAAACAATGACAGTCTGAGAGTCAAGACCATCAAAATTACAGTGATGGAGAACTAAGCTCCAAACGAGCCCATCTGCCAGGGATATTAATGGTTGGTCTCTTGGAGGCCTTCCGACCTGTTAGCCTTATCCCCCTGCTTTTGTTTACTTTTTGTTTTTTAAAAACACTGTGCTGTATTGAAATTGGAAATAAGTTAAAAAATCGTTGTGCTTGAGTTACGATGTCGACATGTAAGCAATGGGGCGTAAGTCATGGATAGATGCATAAGAACATGTATTTTAATAGTCTCTACTGTAGACTTCATTACAGGCAAATCGGCATATATATTCAGAATGCTTTCATGATCGACACCTCTTTAGCTCTGATTTTGAGGAGGTTCTTAAAATGTCACGTCATCTGGTATCTTTTCCTTTTTAAAATTTCGTCTCTGCTTTCAGTACCTAATTTCTAAAACAGAAAGGTAGAAGCACTGAAACTTTCTCTCTGTCACCAAGTGAAAGAATGCGTGGAATCTTCAGCTGGTGCCTTAAAGCAGTACTAGACATCTCAACCCGACTTTCTTAAATGGCAAAAAGAAGCTTTGTTCCTTTAAACAAACTGTCTGTTATTCCTTTTTGCGAAATCGTATTTTGCTATTTTGAAATAAATGTCAATTACAGAAAGTTAATAGGTTGATGTTTAAGAAGTTTTACGTGTAAGAATTACACCACCCTCTTAATTTTGAAGAGTATAATCACAAATTACCTGTAATGCTGTCTCTTATGGAGCACACTAACTTAACTGCTTTGTGAGGGTTTTTTTTTCTGCCACAACTTTGATGTCTTTCTCTGTTTTTAACAGAGTATACCTGAAATACCTCCTAAGCCTGGAGAACTGAAAACAGAACTGTTGGGTCTGAAAGAGAGATCAAGCGAAGTTCAGACTTCACAGCAGTGACCAGAATTTACTTACGCTGTGAAAACTGGAACTAATAAAATACTTGTTGAACTGCAGAAATCCACACGTGACACGCTGTTCTCCCTTAATACCCTTGTTTGTTTCCTTAAGCAGAGTTAAAGGCAGCATTAAAGTCAAATGTACAATGAATACCAATTGCTTACGCCCCAAAACTCTTATTTCTGGATCTTGACTGCAGTGTAGGTACCCTTCAGAACTGAAGATGTGAACTCAGATTGGTGGGTCTGGTGGGATTTGAAACCTTGAAGGTGATTAACAAGTGCATAAGTTTAGCATATTGAAAAGTCAAGCTTTTGTGGCCACTGGTTGGCTTTAATGAGCTTACCTGTTCACCTGTAGTAGAACCCTACTTACCCCTTGGTGTTTTCACCTTTTCTAACGCTTTTACTGGATGTAATGCAGAACCTGGTGCAGTAAGTGATGGCACCAAGTCCAAGTGAGAGACTCCTCAGGCCAGCTGACAGCAGGTACATCGGTGTTCCGTCTGTGGTACTGTCAGCGTGGGGACTGCTTTCCCTTGAGAAAGGCACCCAGAGCGGGCACAGGCTTCACCCACAGTTCTCAGTCAGCTTTAACTTGGGAACGAAAACCACCACCTGGCAGGTGACTCATTAAGGAAACAACAGCTCCACAGTTCCTACTGGCAGAACACTTAGAGCTCTGGTAAGGTCAGAGGGATCCAGAAATGATCACTGGGAAGTGCTGCTTTTACTTCTGTTTCAGCTGTGATTTTATATGTTTACTTAAATTGGAATTGGTTTTCCTGGGATGACAGGTTCCTCTGCACACACGTGTGTGTCTGCTATTTTGCAACTGTTGGCTGATGCGGGATGGGAACCTCTCCTGCTTAGTGCCTGTGTGGATGTTTGCGCTGCAGCCTGTCCCTCTCGTTGCTGGGTCTCAGACTCCGTTCTTGTAGACAGCAGTATAAAAAGGCCTCCAGTAAACCTCGGATGTTAAACCCAAATGAAATCAATGAGAACATCTTACTTGGTCCAGTTCTGGTAAAACTATGTTTTCCTTCACCTTACCTAAATGAAACTGAGACTGAGAACCCTCCACCCCAGTTTAAGCTCAAGTTTATTGAAGAGACAAGATGGGGCGGGTCAGTGGGATTTTGTTCCTGCTCTGACTAGGGCCAGGAGCAGTTTTTCTGTTAGCCCTTTAAAGAGGCAGGATTCACCAATCCTCATTCACACTTTGTATCACTGCTGTCATTACTCTGATAGGAAGATACATGCTTTTCAGATCCATCAGCTGCAAAGGGAAGTTACTGCTAGTTTGGCTCAGATTTCTAAATGTATCCTGCTGCTAATGGAAACTGAGCAACTGGGAGCATGGGTTTTACCCCAGCTGTTGGTTACCCCAGCTCCATATAGGAGCAGCAGAGCTGACAAAACACCAGGTTTTAACAGCTGAGGTGACACCCCCAGACAAAAAAAGAGGCAGCTTACAACTGCATTTTGTGCTTATTGACAGCCAACAGCTGTCACTCCAGGGTAGGGACAGCAACTGGAGCACAGCTGTGTTGCACATACCCTCAGCTGAGCAAGATGAAAAAGCACGAACTGTGACTCTCAAGTGTGCTCATTATTTCTGCAGTTGAATCAGATGTGCCATCCTAAAATGGGTGAAGGCACTGAGGAACTTCAGCTGTGTAGCAGAGCAAAGGTTCCGTAAGTGTGAGTATGTAACAGATGAAGAATACTGCAGCAACCCTATGCTTCCAACCCTTGGGTTTGTTAGCTGCAGAAGTGCTTAACCATGTGGTAGGCTGAGCTGTTTGCTACTCGGGCTAGTGAACTAGGGAGGGGTATGTACTTCTGATGTACTCACAGGTGTATCGCTGCTGAGTGATGTTGTAGGAAGCATTAAGACCTTAGGAGCAGCTGACTGCTACAGCGCACAAGCTGAAGCTGTGCTGCTGTAGGAAGAGGACCGTGCTGTAGCAGGGAATGGTGCACATGCCCTACTCTAGAGAACAAAGAGCTGCTATCAGAGCTGGTATTTCTAGCTGCTCAACTGCACACACTAGTGTAAGACCACTCAGCATGCTGCAACAACAAAGGGTCTTAGGGTGCTCTTACTACTACCATGAGCAAAGCCTAAAATAACCCCAAACCCACAAAACTACACTCCCATTCCTTGAAGTCTCAAAATCTTTATGTTAATAAAGCCTACATCTCTAAACCCTAACTCACTAACCACACTGATACACGGCATTGGTATTTATTGTGTGGAAACAGTATTTGGGCACTGGAGAAGCCAACTAGTAAAAGTAAATGGGAAGCAAGTTCTCCAGGTCAGCCTTCAATGCCCTCACCTAACTGGGAAGTTTATTTCTTTTCAGATTGCAGAAGTCAAACATTGTAGAAGTTCTGTTAATGAACAGAAGAGTGGCTCTTAGTGGAGTTAGTGTATAAGCAGTGCTACTCCTACATACTCCTTCCACAGAGGAAGGTAAACCCCCACCCCATAGGTAAAAAGTGCTTAGACTAACTGAAGGTGTTTGGAGGTAGAAGCACTAGCGAGAAAGCAGCAGTTTGTCCAAGCGCCACGTAATGCTAATACAACAAACGTGAGACCAAGTGCTGCCTCCAGCTCAGCCTGCCCACCCTACTGCTTGGTGCCAGCAGCTGGAGCCTGAGCTAGAGCAAGTATCTACAGTGCTTTGCTGTGCTACAGAGATGTAGGACAAGTTCCAGAACAGCAGCATTAAGGAGCAACTGTAACAGATGAGCTTTCACCTTTAAAAATGGGTGAGAAAGCAGGAGTGCTGGAGCTGCTAGGAAAGCTGCAAGGTAGAAGGCAGGGTTACCAAGCAGCATGGAGGACAGTGCAGGCTCACAGGCAGTAAGCTTGTGCTTGTGTTGGTCACACCTCTAGCAAAGAATCGGTTTGGGTTGGAAGGGACTTAACAGACCATCTATTTCCAACCCCCCTGCCATGGGCAGGGACACCTTCCACTAGACCAGGTTGCTCAAAGCCTCATCCAGCCTGGCCTTGAACACTTCCAGGGATGGGGCATCCACAGCTTCCCGGGGCAACCTGTTCCAGTGCCTCACCACCCTCTCTGGGAAGAATTTCTTCGCAAAAAATGGGAAGTTTGTTTCACTCATCTCTGCCATAAAAGCTACCACTGCCCAGCCCAGTGCAGGCTGGCAGGGCTTTGGTCCCAGTGCTATTTTTAAATGCCCTATTTCATCTTGAAGATGGCAGCAGAAACCCACATTCCTGACTACTTATTTCAACCAGCAAGTTCAGTACAGCTCTCAGCTACCAGGTACGTTTTGGCTAAGCAGCACAGCAGGTCTGTTAGCACCAAACCCAGCCACAGGGATACGCTATGCAGTTAAGTGCGGCTGTGCTAGCATGGAAAGGCACAAGGACTGCAAGCTGCCCCTTGTACAAAGGGCCTGAACACTCAAGATAATCCCTTTCTTTCTTTGTGCTAGCCCACAATATGAACTTACTATGTAAAATTTAGAGTTATCGGTGTTCGGGAACATTTTATTTTGTACATGACAAGATTTTACACCAAGTCAGTTAAATAATACAAATTTACATTCATGAGGAATGTTTTTAGAAAAGTGAACTTAAAAAAAAAAATATCCTTCTTTACCTTTAAACCCCATACCATCCCGTAACATTTTACAGTGGAAAAAAACCCCAAAGCAATCTAATTCACATTCCCTCCTAACCCCCCAACGCAGGACCGTAGTTGCGTGCAGCTCACAGTTCATCTTTCACATCTGTGGATTCCTGTGGAGACCAAGAGAGAATCCGAATCATGCTTTTTGGAGTGGAAAAGGTTACAAGATCTGCCCCAGAAGAATGGAACCCAAGTGTTGCTGATGCCTCCTGAAGCACTAACATAAGTAACACAGCCTCTTAATGAGGAAGCGAAGTCAAACCCCTGTTCAAACACTGGCATGTTAAGCCTTTGCTGTTTGAAGCCAAGTGTTTTTCAGTCTGCTCGAGCATTAGCCGTAGATCTAGTGTACCATTCCGTCTTTAGTACTTTCTAAGCCACCTTTCAGCCAGTGTTAGTGCTGGCACTAGCCCTATCCTATCGGACTGCAGAGCTAGCAAGCACATAACCTTGCAGTCAGTAGTCAGAGACCTTAGTTATGTGCTAATCCAACAAACAGAACAACGTTGCCCCTTTATATGTTAACCATCATCGCAGGTTACATCCTGCCGCGTAAACATGACAGTAACGGCATCAAAATTCAGTAGCTGTAGTACACTAAGTGTTGCACCTCATTTACTCTTTGGTAATCTGACATTTAACAGTAGGCAGGTACATCTCAGTGCCACGTATCTGTGCATCTGTCACAAGATGTAACCTTACAGGACTCTTCCAAAAGCCACCTGAGAGAGCACATCCAGTTGGGAATCTCAGAATTAACATTATCAAAAAACTGTGGTATTGGGCGAGTCCAGCATATCCATCAAGGCACCATTAAAACTGCAGACATCAGCTAAGGGGAGGTGGGTTCACACAGCAGCTGAACTGTTTTGGAGGCAGTGTTGCTTCAAGACTCTGAGCATCTGAAGCTCCAACCCTTGCCAATCCTTGATGTACAACAGGTAACACTAGGTCAACAGCAGAGGGTTTTCTGCTGTTTTCTTGCCACAGGGCACTGTTACAATCTCCTGAGCTTAATTTAACTCCAATTTTTAACATATATAGGTGTTTTATTTATTAAGTAGCCTGGCAAGGAATTAAATTACATTTGTGCTGCAGTTTCCCCCCCCCACTAAAAACTAGTGCCACAAAAGGCAGAGTGAACAAGTTTGTTACCAGGAAGCACCTCAGACAAAACTGTACATCAGTATTGTTAAAAGCAGTCAAACTTGAGCCCTTACCTTCTGTGTTTCACTGTCTTCAGCATCAGCATCCACCTCCTCTTCATCTTGCTCTGCCTCCTCAGCTGCATCTTCAGGCTCTTCAGGTTCTTCCTCCACCTGTAGGAAGGTTACAATTTGCTATATTTGCCTGGGATGTTTACGAGTTGTGGACTAGCTAGATACAAGCTGTGCAAGTATTCATTATCCATTCCCAACATTTGCCCCAAGATACCTGAAGAAAGCAAGTTCTGCTTAGCACTGACAGGCTTTCATTCCTCCTCCAGCAAGACATGCATCTTAAGCTCCTGCACACCACTGTGAGAACCCCTAGTATTTATACCCACTTACGAACTCATCTGTTAACAAGATGGGTTACACGTGCCTTTGGCCCTTAATTTACTCCCACGGAACCACCACTTAAGGATAATGCAATACTTGAGAAGCACAATGGAAGAGCAGACTTCCAAGAAACTAAAGAATGAAAAGGGAGGACATGAGCATTAAGTACAGGGTCATCAGTTTCCCACCCAGGTACTTGAACCGGACTTCTGGCAGCCCACCTAACAGCAGGCAGCATTTTATGCAAGTACCTGCTTTTTAAGGTGTGTTAGCAGGAATTCACTTATCAGCCCCAAGCTGAAGGCAAACCAACCTTTGCATCCAGGTCGATGTTTAAGCTTAAACGAAGCATCCTTTCTATTCTGTCTCCATATTCCTTAGTGTCTGGTAACATGTATCCTGATCTCAAAGTTGCCGTTTCAAACAACACCACTGCAAGATCTGAAACAGTTTTGTCATCTTCATTTTCCTAAATGCGGAAGAATGTAAAAAAAACCAAGCAGGACTGTTAACTAAGTCATATGCAGCCAAGCAGCCAGTATTTCACTACTGTTACTTGCTCACCTTGACTCGCCGCAGCATGTCCTTGATCAGTGGATGCCTGGGATTGATTTCAAATGTCTTCTTCTGGCTGGCATAGTAACTGAAAAGAAGTGACATCACTAAGTTTTAAAGTACAGAACCCAGCTATGTCTTTTAACCCATGAATCCTGCTTACAGCCACTGTAACAAGTGAATTTCTCCCCCACCCCCACCTTACTACTAGCTTAACTCTGAAAAGCATTCGAGTTACTAAGAGTTTGCACCCTTTTGTCACCAAGTGACCGTAAATGCCACTGATCAGTCTTGCTCACCAGGCAGTTTCACATACTGGGCTTTGAAATAACTAATTTAAGACACTGATGGAGACTGCCACTTGGTTATAAGTGACCTAAAAATACAAGGGACCATTTGAACCAGAGAGAACCTTGGTATGCCCACCCCAGGCGAAGGAGAACAACTACATTTCAGGTCTGCCACGACATAACTGAAAGCTTACTTTGTAGAGATATCCTTCCCAGTTTGGTAAGCTTGAGCCTTCATGATTCTTTCCATGTTACCAGACCATCCATACTGGCTTGCCACAAGAGCACAGGGAGACTGGGTTAAACGTTGAGACAGCACAGCTTTTTCAATCTGCAGGGAATTAAAAAAAAGCAAGCCTTTGCATTAGTTCAGAGCTAACAGCTTACAGAGGGAATAAAGCAATCAACTCTCAAATTTCTTGTAACTTCAGTTTTTTCTTAAGGTTTCAAGATGACATTGTAACTCATTATCTTCCTGAAATAAAAGTAAATGCATTTGTTTACCCAACGAAAGACAGAAGCTACTATGAAGTCTACACTCAAGGAATCTGCAAGGTTGTGTTGTAGCAAGTACAACAGAACTTACAACATAAGCATGACATACAGTGTAACACTTTACCTTGTCTTTTAAAGCTTTGTCTTTCATCCAGTTCAAGAGTGGTTCAAATTCCTTTTCCAAGGCTTCCCGACTCTCCTTAGACTTTTCACTTTCTTCAAACTTAACTCCTTCTTTTGCTACATTCTGAAACCTCTTCCCATCAAACTCTGGCAGAGCCTGAATACAGTATTCATCTACAGGCTCAGTCAGGTAGATCACTTCATAGCCCTTCTTCAGGAGGCGTTCAACAAACGGTGAGGACTCAGCCTAAGATGACAAAACAGGTCAGGTGCCACTTTAGCTGCATCTGTACCACCAGCTATCAAAACCCATACAGCCATTTGACAAGCTATGGTACAAGGAAGACTGTACTGCAGTAATCACAAGCACAGAGTCTCCACACTTGCAGCAAATACAGTTTACAATGTTTATGCTATTACTTCAACTGGGAGACACAATATGTTTTTCCCCTTCCCTCTTTCTTCCATGCTCACATACCTCCTTTCTGCTGGCACCTGCCATGAAATAAATTTTGTCTTGCTTCTCTTTCATTCTTTCCACATACTGGTCAAGGCTCGTGAGGTTGGTTTCATGATTAGAAGACTGGAAGCGAAGAAGTTTAGCCAGTCGTGTACGATTGGAGTGATCCTCAATAACTCCAAGCTTTACATTAGTACCAAACTCTTTCCAGAATGTGTCATTGTACTTTTCTTCTGCAATTTTCTTGATCATATCAAGAGTTTTGCGAACAAGTTTCTTTCTTATCACCTAAAAAAAAGCATCAATACCAAGGTGTAACAGTAAGCACTTGGAAGAACCCTCAATTCAACCCCACTACAAAGGATGGGAGACACCTGGTGTCCCTGATTTAAAGTGAACAGAGGTAGTCTGAAAACAGCAATGCTTGCATTTCCTATGATTACCCTCTTCCTAGAAGGTAAAATTAATCAAGCCATTATTCTCCTAAATCTTGCTACACTCACATGCTTACAATGAAGGGATTTAAGATCAATTAGCTTACCTTCAACAATTTGTGCTGCTGAAGTGTTTCACGAGACACGTTCAAAGGAAGATCATCAGAATCCACCTAAATTGAGGAAGAAGCTTTTTCAGTATAGCTAACAGTATTTGACAATTAAAAAAAAGGCTTGCAATACTTACAACACCCTTAACAAAGTTAAGGTATTTGGGCATCATGTCATGGAAGTCATCAGTGATGAACACTCTTCGAACATAGAGCTGAATTGCAAGAGAAAACAGCAGTCAGGTTATAGAGTTTTTTTGGGATTTTTTTTAGACAGGAATCCATACCCACACACCTCCTTGTCCTACCTTAATGAAATCACTTTTTTTGGATCCATATTCATCGAACAGGCCACGTGGAGCAGAATTAGGAACAAACAAGATGGATTTGAAAGTTACTTCCCCTTCAGCAGTGAAGTGGATGTAAGCCATTGGGTCATCATGCTCCTGTGAAAAGAGAATTTTTAATTGACATGGGGAAAGTTTCAGTTAAACACATTTCCAGTAATAATGTGAGTTGACCAAGTACATACAATTATTTTACAATTAAAATCTATCTAACCATGGTTTGCTAGCATTTATTATGAGGACAAAAGTTCCCAATTCAGACCTACTAGGGTTTTTGGTTGTGGTTTTTTTATTTCCCCACAGCACATTAAGTGACTCCAAAGTAACATATTACTCTGCATTTTGCACACAAAGACATTATTTCTAGAGAGCCATTATCTCTTTTCCACCATGTACAACACAAGCACCACCAGTCACAGTTTGCCTGTCAACATTTAAATGCATCAGTAAGCTCCGTATGAGCTGAAACATTACTTCCCAAATCTAGGCCACCCATCCCTTGGGACTTGGCTGTACCTTCTCTGAAAAAAAACAATAGCTCACAAGTGAGATGCTACACCTTCTAGGTTCTCTAATTCAGTCTATCTACTGACAGCAATTTATTCTTCAGAAATAGCTCATCTTATAAGCACTCGTTTTATTTATGCAGCAAGAGCTACTATAGCAAGCTTGCTACTTTGGAACAATCTTGAGGCTCAGAACTTACCTTGGAAAAGGTTTTGTAAAAAGCTTTGTATTCATCTTCTTCAACTTCTTTGGATGGTCTCTGCCAGATTGGTTTAATGTCATTCATGAGCTCCCAATCCCAAACAGTCTTTTCAACCTAGGTATGTAAACACCAAAGGATAATAAAGACTCCTTCTTTACTTCAAGTTAAGTCAGTTAAAGAAATCCCACTGAGGCTAAGTCATAAAATATCATGTTAAAAATTTGCTCTAACCTACAAGACATAAATGAGAACACTGAAGTTGTTGTAAGTATACACATTAGTGTAACACATTGGAACAAAACCTAAACCTATACCACAGTGTGCCCTATGTACATGTAACATGTTCACAGAGTAGCACTATTTCTGTTCTACTGCCATTCTGAAACAAGCTTTCCAGCAGAGCATACTCAGTTTAAACTAGCCAGTGTCAGGTTACCAGTGTCCACCACCATTTCAAACAGTTCACTCAAGTATTTATAATTAGCAATGGGACCGCTGCCTCACAAGGCTACTGCTCGGCCATTGGCCTGATTTCAACAAGTCTGTTTTGTTTACAACCTTCTTCCATGACAAGGTGTCTAACGGCACTTAAACAAGTTTGCTGTTTGAAAGCAAACACACACTGCTGAACTTTGTGCCTGGAAAAGCACTTAGGGATATCGCTGAATTATCAGACTTATGTCACAAAACTCCATGTCTGACAAAGCTTACCTTCTTTGTTTTTGGTTTCTTTTCTTCCTCCTCTTCTTCAACTGCAGCTTCATCATCATCTGTTTCTTCTTTCTCCTTTGCTTCCTCCTCTTCAATGGGTTCCTCAACAGTCTCTGTCTAAAGAGACAATTCCAAGTGGGGATTTGGGCTGCTTGGCTTCCTACCAGGTATCTTCTGGAGTTCTCTTAAAGAGCTTCATCTCTCAGAGCACTAGTTGTGTTACTTCCCTATCACAACCATTTCCCTATAAGTAGCTACAGCTGAAGGTCGCTCTGCTCAAAGTTCATGTTTTTCCCATAGCTTTACACATAAAGCTCAGACTTGGGCAATTCTCAGTTCATGCTACACCAAGATAACATCAGAAGAGCAAGTCAGAATAAAGCCATGTTCCTTCCAAGTCCACGATTTTAGCAACACACTAACTTTTGGAGAGCCAAGTAACTTGTAAAATACTAGCCAGAAGAGTCAGAAATGGGAGAGTTCTAGGATTAGACAGCTAAAGCTCTATAGCATGCCCTCATCCTTCTTGAGATCTGGCCGGAGATCTTTCACAACCAAGGCTCACACAGCGCACTGCTCGGCTAGATATACTCACCTTGCTGCTCCACACGTAGATGGGGAAGTTGATGAACTGTGAGTATTTCTTTACTAGATTTTTAACTGTATCCAGCTCAAGATAATCGGATGCTTCCTCCTTCAAAACAAGGCTAGAGAAAATAAAAAACAACCTTTAATCAAGTGCTCCACAAGTATTTTAAAGTAGTTTTACAGGAGCAGATGCCTTTTCCTACTGTTGCAGCCATCGTGATTCAAATTTATGCAATTTGGCTTTTATTAGTTCAGCTATAAATATCTCAAAAAAGACATATTTCCTACTAAACAGCTCCAATGAAAAGAAAGGGCTAATTGTTTTCAGCAATTGGGGCAGAACACAGTATCCAGAAGCCTAAATGAAAACCTCAGATCATATTGATACTTCAGTGAATTTACTTGGAGGTAAAACAGAGAAACCTTTTCATACTAAATGCCTTCTTCAGAAAAGTCCTCAAACAAATCAAATTTATCCGCTCACAAAAGCCATGAAAATAGGACTGTCAAACTTCCTCTAGTTTGAGACTTGCATCAGCCCAGTCTCACAGGTCTAGAAACAGCAGCAAGTTTCCAAGTAGCTCTACAGCCCCCATGTAGGTTTCCAAGGGCCACAGTTGTGTTGGGGAACTGAACGAGACTGCAGGCACCTGAACTGTCTCAAGTTATTTGCCAACAGCTGTCAAGATGCTCTTGGTTTTCTTAGTTCATCTAATGGAATGTGATGCAAAATACCGTCTCACTCCACATTTATTCTGGATGCAGTTAATACTTTGCATCTTTATGTTATGTTAAAAAAGCTGCATTACAAGAATCAAACAATATATGTCATAATGCTGAAGTCATCCACATGTCCAATGAGCAAAGCGTACCCACACAACTTTCTTTCAAACCCCAAGAAACTTAATACTCACGTTATGGTTGTGCCACGTCCTAAAGTGTTTCCTCTTGGGTCATCAATCACAGAGAATTCATTTGAATCTGACTCCCAAATATGTTGAGTGTCATTGTTGTGTTTCGATGTGACAATAACTCTGTCTGCCACTAAGAAAGCAGAATAAAAGCCAACACCAAACTGGCCGATCAACTCAGATGTTGACTGGCTATCATCCTGCATTTCAGTCATCTTGTTTAAGAATTCACTTGTACCAGACTTGGCAATGGTACCCAGGTTTTTAACTAACTCTTCTTTTGTCATGCCAATACCCGTATCCGTAACGTGAAGCATATTCTTCTCTTTGTCACACTGAAAAAAAAAGGAAGACGCAGTTTGACTTCACTTTGAATCTCAACACATAATACACTGCCACAGAACAGTGGTAAGAGCAGCAGCTATTCAAACTCAAACATGCTTGGCTACAATAAATTGAATTTGCAGCAGCTACAGAAGCTAGAGACTTCCAGGTATTTCATTACTTCCATTACTCTTTACAGAGTCAGAAATATATTTTCACCAAGGCCAAGTGCAAGGTCC